GAGGCATTGTTGCATCCTACGTGGCTCTAGTTGATCTAAAACATAACAGAATAGCAAAAACTGATTTGCATAGTGATCGTAAATGCTCATACAGGAAGCTATATGGCATATCGAAGCGTGATATCATCTAACTTCCGTTAACTGCATTTGCTTCTAAAATCCAATAAAGTTTTCTTAGTTTCAATTTATTACATTATTAAGTGGGGATATTTTTTTTTTACTATATTTAATCATGTTTGCTGATGCTTCTTCCAGTGAAATTGGTCAATGATTCCTTTTTGTTGATGACATTAAGTTGGTCAAATACGATGAAAATACAGGGACAACGGTTGTACTATCGTACAAGTATCTGCAATATGCAAATGCGTACAATGAAATGTACACTAAACCATCGCTGTGTAAAGCGGCGGCATAAGATTTGAATCAGAAATGGTTCATCACACAATGAGCATCCTGTCTGTTTTCAGATGTTTTAGTTATGAAACATTGTTATGCAATGTCTAAAATAAGCATAAGGGCACTGCAGTTTTTAGCACAATGTCTGTTCCTTTTTAGATTACAGTCAATCCTGTTTTATTTCTGCAAAGTATTGAGTGTAAACAAGTTCCTATGCACAGTGGAAGTTATTTGACTGTAGAATTGCTACATGATCGATGTGCTTTAAAGAAAATTTAAAACAAATGGGAATCAACTTTTTCAGGGATTTTCTGTGATTTAAAAATAACAACGATATATTGAATACATATGCTCCTTATAGACTACTGAGATGTATTGCAGTTGGACTCATTACTAACCTGCAAGTGAGTTATTTTTCAGTACTTTATCAGAGTATTGGAGAAAATCAGCAAAAATAAAAAAACAGGACCATAATCTTCACCCGTTTTAGATGTAAAGAGGAAGTTGCAGTGATGAAATCATTTTCTGAGGCTGATCTGTGTTTCACCCACTGATTCTCAGTAAATAGGGCAGAAAAACATGTTTAAAAATAAACACATGTTCGGAATAAATATTTGCACAACAGGATATTTAGTTGCTGGGTTCTAGACAATGAACATTTCATTTAAGTATTTTAGCGAATATATATAGAATATATTTTGAACAGGAATACAGACAATGGAGCATACAAGTGAAAAAGACAGATATTCATGAAATATATAACTAGGAACCGATAACACAACGCCTGTCAAAGGATATCTGCAATCCTCACTGCGGACACATGCAGCATGTTGCTATTGTGGGACATATGAGGCCTGCTCATCTCATTTGGATGTACTCCCGAGATGTCGATGACATATTCAAGCTGGCTTGCTTTTGTGCCATCTGTCTTTTGATCAGTCTGAAGGCAAACAGATCATCCAGACTGAATAGGGTTAAAGGGCAATGTGCTTGTGATTTTGCAATGAAAGAAAAAGATTTTCACAACTTTGAATGCAACCCATCATTTGAATGTATTGGGCTTAGACAATGTCTTTCAGAAGGTGGACAATCTGTTTATTCATGAAGAGCTTCTTTGCATGTATTAAGCTCATGAATCTGGAGCAAGATTCATCCCTCACTGTAGAAATCTAAAATATTACTGGAATTCTTTTTTTCTGATATGATCCGTGTTTAATCTTTGAGTTGGGTTGTCATTCCAAGACTAAGATGCCCCATATGACACTCATACATCAAACACATACAATATTATTTATCAAATCAGTATTATTAGCAAAGCAGTAATATTTAAACTAATATTTATTAGTGGAGCACTTGATATATATGTATATGTATATATACTTTTTTTTTAAATGCGTTAAATGAGTTTCATAACAACACTTCATCACCATCTTTCAGCCAGCCCCTGTTAGCTGGAGCAAGAGCACTGCTTTGGTTACTTTGAATCAACCAATTAGAAACATTGTACTATAAATAAACACAGTAAATTGGAAAGACACATTCAAATCTCTTCAGCTTAACAAGGCTGCTAATTCTGTTTGTGTAGGCTTGTTAGCTTGGATTACTACTCCGCATTTGAGAGCCAGTGTTAGCAGACACATGTAGCTTCTGCTGGCCAGAGCTGCCACTGTCTCACTCAGATGATGAGGAATAAACCGAGCTCACAAACTGGCCTAGCTAGTTAGCTGGGTACGTATCATGTACAGTGTTGTTAAGCCGATCAATGAGAAAGAGGCTTTAGTTTATGGTTACTGAGTTTATTAGCAACAGCAGCAGGTGCATGAGTCAGAACTACTTGGCCTCTGACCCGGCTAACAGGAGCTAGCGTCAGCTTCCTTAACCTAGTAGCAATTGTTGTGCATGCTATTTTAAGAAGGCGGAGGGCAATAATCTGAGAGGAATTTGACACCAATGTAACAAAAAAAACAGTGTCATTGCACAATGCCGTCTTAAAATGAAGGCAGACGTATAATTTTTTAAAATCTGCACAAAACAAAACAAATACACGAGTCATATAATTAGAAATATAAGGAGAATGATAAGATAACACCCTGCTTCGACATAATAGCTCTTTATTTGGTGTGAACGCAGGGGTTTATTTCAGTTAGAGAGCTTACTAGCTTTTCCTCACAGTCATCTTTGAAATTACCTTTCTCGTGACCAATGTGCTATTGGCTTTAGCAACGTGGTACACAGTGATACACTGGAGTGTGCCTCGCAGCAGTCCTCACAACAATCTCCTTGTGTTGTTGTTCTCAGAGACACTGCTGGCCCTTAAAGAGCAGTTGGACCACAGAAGTAAATGGTAATTGGACTGTACTTGTATAGCGCTTTTCTAGTCTTCTGACCCCTCAAAGCGCTTTAACACTACATGACATCTTTCACCCATTCATACACTGACGACAGGAGAACCATACACAGTGACACCTGCCCATCAGTAACTACCATTCACACACTGTAGTCGCAGCTACAGGAGCAATGTTGGGTTAAGTGTCTTGGGATCGAACCAACAACCCTCTGAGGACGGCCGTGCTCCCCACTCACCCACAGTACAGCTTGACTAGTGAGGCTTCTCTCACCAAACAGCGCAGTCATTTAGGTGAGATTTTTTTACCCACTCACTTTAAACCAACAACTTCCCAACCAAAGTTTGTTCAGGAAACGGCAAATAAATCCCATTCAAACCAGAATGGGCGGAGCGGCGCCCATTTTAACGGGTCATTGAGATCTTGTCATGACGAATTAATGTCCACTTCGCTGCTGTACTGAGGTTAACCCTAAAAATGTCCATTTAGAAATGTGTTAAAATAGGATTTAAAAAGCCATTACTGCTTTAATATTTTGACAGATTAAAAACAACGTTGCCGCACATCCCTTTTGCTCTCTACAATATTAATTATTTGGAGCTGAACGCCTCAAAGCCACCCAGGACTTGAAAGGACAGATGGAACATTATTGCAAGGTCGCAGCGAATCATATGCTGAAAGTTTGGCCAAAATACAAGCTCCCTTCAGTATAACGTACAGTGTATTACCAAGATTTCCATTTCTATTTGTTGAAGACTGGCTGTTTAATTAGTAACACGTTTATTGCAAGTCCAGTTGCTCCAGTTCAGACAGCTTGGGTGCTGACGACTGTTCGATAGCAGGATCTCACTAGTTCCTTTCCTCAACCTGATTTATCAGAGAATCTACTACATGGACACATGTTCATTCTGAATTTGGAAAACACATAAAATATCATAGTAGAGTAAATCATGGTGGTAACAGATAGACAGGTGGGTGGTTCTTTCAAAGGCAACATTTTAAAAAACACAAATATGGGTTTGTAAGTATCTTGACCTTTACTGCTTTTTACCAAACGTTATCTCAAAATGCTCATATGACACTGAAATGTGCCTCTAGGCTTTAACGCCTCCTTGTTCACTGTGTTCACCTTTCTGCATCCCACTAAATGCCAATAGGCATTATCATAAATCATGGTCCACCTACTGGTTTGGCAACTGAACAGATCCCTCCAGCGAGCAGACGCTGTTGATTTGGCTAAACAATGGGATGACTTTAAACCTCCCCAGCAGGTCCACCAGTCGACCTCCTCCTCCGCAGGAAGCTCGGCGGCGAATCACTCCAGAGCGGAAATGCTATTTCAGTTTCATGACATGTTCAGGATTCAGAAGGGGATAAGATGTTTACATTTCCCTCAGACTTGACCACATAGTTTCGTTAGAACCGAATTTAGTTAGAAACTAACAAGACCTCTTTTAGGGTTTATAAAAGCGTAGCCCCACAAAGAGCAGAGGAGAAGTTAAAGTTAAGAGTACCAGCGTTCTAAAAGTCTTTTCATCTGATGTCCAGGGGAGTGAAGGTACGCTGTTCACCACAGATGCCACAATGTTAATGGGCATTTAGCTTTTCGCTCTTCTAAGTGCAGAGCCTAGAAAACAAGAATGAGGGGAATCTGATCATCTTTATTTCTGGGACAGCCTACATGCAGAAATACAACAGAGCTGTGAAGCGCACACTGCCCTCTGCAGACTGCAGATCGCCATGTCAACAGACAGAAACAGAAATGATTGGCAGTGTATGCAGTTTTGTGCCTTTTTAGTTAATTTATGATAAGCCAACAATGGAAATAACAGGAAATAGAGAGGGAACGCTCAAGGCAAGTTGGACAACTTTACTTTCAATATTTTAAACATACATCCAATCTGGTTCTTCATGTTTTATTGTATTAACTGGCTGCTGTAGCCACTGGTTCCAAGACCTCCTATATGTCAAATCTTCTGACAAGCACCTGGAGCTGCCCACTAAAACATCATCAAGCCGGGGGCCACTTAGTGGGGCACAACTTCTATGAGGTCAAAGTGGGGCTGTAGCGGACGGCATTATATTGAGGTGTTATATATTATATTTCCACTCCATTTACATGCATGAGGAGGGCAGGAGACAGTAATTGGTTGTGCAAATGTGAAAGTCTATCCTGTTTCTGAGCTCACTGTCAAGTCTTGGGTTTTTTCAGTAATAAAAAAAAAAGTCAATATGAAAGAAGTCAACAATACAAAAATCTCAGTTCAACCAACACAGATATGTATTTTATTTAAAATGATCATAGAAGTGCATAGCACTGATTGAAATCCTCCGTGTACAGAAGAGAAACCGCAAACAAATTGCGAGATCAAGAGAGTTGATTTATTTTCTTCCCTTTCTTTTTTACAAATGACACTCATCACAAAAACAAAAAGGAGAAACAGAGAAAAGTTTGAGGTACAGAAAACTGTGCTCTCCAATCTTAACCATAAACCAACACAAGTCCCTTTTTGTAACTGGCCTTAAACTCAAAGGATAAAGGCACGAGGTATTTTGTCAAAACTTTTGAGGTAATTTGGCTCAAATAAATACAAGACTTTTGGTCTGCAGCTAAATTATACAGTGACACTAGTGGATACAGTGGTGCAAACTCTGCCTCTAGCCCACATCACAACAACATTCACACCCGATATCTCAAACAAACAGAAATCCTAATGCCAGCTCCATGCATTTAATGACTGCAGAGCATGCATATTGCACATTATGTACACCTTGTGGTTCAAAGTGCTGTACCAAGTACATCAGGTCTCTCCAAATTAAAAACACTTATTTCTTCTTCACTGTGTTAGATTACGTTCAAGAGAAACAGATCACCATCTATTATGTCTTGCCACCCAAAAAAAAAAAAAAAAAGACCTTCAGGAAAAGGTCTATCATCTGTCGAAGCACGGGGCGGCGCATGTGTAGTGCATGCTGACTTGGTAAGCCCTGTTGGGAATGCTGGACTTTGGATCCTGGGAGGCGGCGAGGGCCTGCGCGTTGTCGTTGGGCGCCTGCAGGCTGGCGGCAGAGTGGCTGAGGTAGGAGGCGGGCCTGTGGTTAGGGGCCAGGCCTGGCTGCGGCGGGGGCTGCTGGGGATACTGCAGGCTGGAGCGGTGCAGGTACTGGGCCACAGCGACTGTCGGCCCCGAACCGTGGAACACTGCGTGGCCCTGCTGCTGCTGCTGGCCGGGCTGCTGGCACTTCTGCTTGTTGGCCTCTTTGACGTCACCCTCGTGTGCACTGGGAAAAAACAGGAACAAAAGGGTCGCGCTGCTGATTAGTGAAAAGATCCAGCGCTGTGAGGTGAGCCTGAGCGTGTTGAATGCGCAGTGTGGAATATGTGAGCTCCTGGGTGTCGGGGTCCTATTGTTCTTGTGTAACGTGGCAGCATGCGTCGTCAGTATACATCCGTTTTACTTTTTTTAGCAGCTGGAATGAGCGTGTACGCGGATTCAGCGTCATCTGAGCCACAGGCGGGTTTACACACATGAGTAGTTTCTCTGCACACGGGACCAGGTTCTCCCATGTGTACGCCGTGAGGTGCTGCAGTCGGGGCGGCCATGAGGGGGACAGGTGGAGGACGATGCGGGACGTGACCACGCACGCAGCGGACACCAGAGAGGGGGCGAAACACAAGAACATATGATCTGAGGGAAGAAAACAGCAAGGGATCAGCACGTGCAGCAAAATAAACTAAAACTGTACTGCAAAACGCCGTTATTGGTCAAAACGGAGTTATGGAAGGGATTTAACGTTTGTTTTACCATGCGAGATGCTGTCACACACACTTCTACACATATAAGAACAACATATACAATTTGTTGGCTCTGGAAGACCATTAACTGCTACACTTTGTTATTTCACACTGCTAATGAATTCCAACTAGCGAAGTACCTTTTGTTTTGACTCTTGTCTGATCCGTGGCAATTACTGTTGTTAAGTCACGCATTTAAAATGTATTCAAATTGTAAAGGAATTTCTTGAACCATACTTGTAACTATGAACCATAAACAATCAAAACAAATTCATTTTCTAAAATTGTTTAGTTGAAATAGACAAAAATTAAAAAGACACACTGCATATTCAATGCCCTCCAAAGCATTTGCATAAAATACATCGGCCTATAAAAACAGCATTACAGCATCTCTATTGATCACAGTGGTTGTCAGGCAGTTAGAAACTGTTAATACTGCGGTTTAATGTCAGTACAGTGGGCGTGAAGATGTTATTGAAGAGCGTGTAATCAATGTCATTTCTATACATTCTCAAATTAGTGCAATTTATTTTGACTACATTGTGTCAAACTGAACTTTTCTCCAACTTTGGGACCAAATGCAACTCACCTTGCAAGGAAACCTCCAGGAAGTAATCAGCATACTTGGCCATGTATAGTTTGGTCTTCTCCAGGCAGGTCATCGGCCAGCCGTCATGGAGGTCTCCCTCGTGGACGGCAATAGACAGGTAGTATTCGATGAAATGAGCGGCTGTGGGGAGGTAAAGGTTCCACTGGAAGGATTCCAGCAGGAGCAGCTCCATGTGAAGCAAACTCTGCTTGGTCAGGACCAGGTTCATGGAGGTCATGCAGCCCAAGCTGTTCAGGGTCTCCAGCTTGGGCACCCGGTCCTCTCTTTCCTCAAACTTACCTGCAGCGTACAAGAGTTTTTCGGGGAAAAACATCACACCATGCACGCAGGGACCACAACACCATTGAGTGCGTTTGAGGGTGCGAACTCACTGGCCAAAAGAAGACACGAGAGCGAGACCATGTGAAGCTGCTGCACGGTGACATCGTAGCGGTCCATGAAGAGGTCCAGCAGGTAGACGCCCAGGTGTCTGGCTGCAGGACACAGCCTGAAGTGGTTGCTGACGATGGCTATGAGGTCTGCAAAGTATCGCCTCAAGTTGAGCTGGGGGGACTGGCCTTTGTAGGATGGCAACTTAAGTTCCTGTTAGACAACAAGACACGACCGTCACTACATTTACTATGCATGCGCATTCAACGTGCAGAACATTCACACACTGGGGCACGAGTGATGAGTTGGGTGTGTGCTGGTGAGCAACAGGACAGTTCAGCGGGCTTGACTGAAATAATGACATCACTAAATAGTTTTGTCCACCAGACAGAAAAGAAAAGTTTTGTTTCTTTATTTACTTGAATAATCTTTGGCTGACGCTGGCATTGCTTATCGTATGGCCAATTAACGACGTCATAATACAAAATAAATAAATAATACCACTAAAAATAAAGAGGGAATTCAGTTTGGGAGATATTCAACAGATTGGAACACTGATTCATGTCTGATATGCAATTGTTTTGCTTCAAGCAGCAGTCACTCAAGTGTCCCACTCACTTTGTATCGTAGCGCCTGGTAGATGTCTGCAGCGAGTTGTCCTTTCCACCATTGGTCCTCGAGCTCCATTTAGCACAGTGCTCGGGAACCCGCTGGAAAGCAGAAGACACGAGGGGCAATCAGTCAAACTAAAACTAGATATGCACACGGAGAAGCTGACGTTAAGCCTCTGGGCCGCATCGCGTTAAGCGGATCGATCGGTCTGTCGTTGGTCGTGATTTCATGAACTCGGACATAAAAAAACACTGTTGATGTTGACGCTTCAGAAGTGGAAACTCACCCAAACGAGCACATGTAGTGAATATTAGCGGCCCTTTCACTGAAGTAAAGTGTATTCAAACTACCCGGCCATGCTTGCTCACAGTCATTGTTGTAGTCCGTGAAGCTGTTCCACTCAGCACGAGACCCGACAGACACCCCGGCTGCGTTCGAGGGCTCCCGGAAACGCGCATTTCAAGCTGCGTGCGCAGGTACCCCCAACTCCAAAGATGCCTGAAAAAAAGCCGGAAAGTGGTAGAAACAGATGTTTATACTATTAATGTCAAATACTATCACGCTTTATTATTTTCTATACCGATTGATTTCCGATTACATCCTTCACAACTGATTTATTGTTGAAGTTGTTTTTCTCAGATTTAGTGGAATGCCAATTCAAAACCAGAAAATCCGGTTATTTCACCCAAAGGGATTTTTATAAATTGTCAATTAGCACTTGAAAGCATCGCCGCACTGCAAACATCCAATCAACTGGCCAGATGCAAACAAAAGTCAAGGGGAGTTGGAATTGGTGAGGGCACATTCTTTCACAGTAAGACATGCACGACACGCCATATATGTATGAGGAGCAGATTACCATCAACTGAACATTTCAAATAATTTTTGAAAAAGAGCAACAAAAGTGTGATTCGCTGGTAAGCCTACTTTTTGCACTGAAATTCCATCTTGTTTGCTCAATGTTTTGATAAGATACTGGCCTGCTATTCAGCATTTCCAGCTGATCCTGCAATACAGCTTTCAAATAATCTCTCCTTGAGAAAGAATACGTCTGTGTGCCGGTCAATGACCCCACAAGGCAGAAATCATTGTATCACGCTAATGCCTATTTCAGAATACGGGGAAAAGAAATTTAACTGTAGGAACTAAAAACATCTTCTGATTAATACCGTGTGTGAAGTACCATTTCCAATAATAATAATAACAATACTTTAGAAACTCATTGGACTCATGTGACATATGCAAAAGGGGTATGGGTTAACCCTTAGGTGACCCTTACTTTATTGATTTATTGAAATTAAAGTAAATGCTTAGAGGTAAAAAATATTGTGTCTATTGTCTTTAATTTGGTCAAGTTATATAATTTAGGATGTGATAATGGTGAATGAGAGAGATTTTCCAGAGGCATCATTTTCTCAAACCTAAATAATGATTATCTAGAATAAATGTGATGCAAGATTTGGGTTTGTTATTTGTTTTTAACTGATATCTTACTACCGTACATCACTGTTGCTGTCCCGGTTTTTCCTTTCATAAGGTTCCCTGGTCATCCCCCAGCTCATCTCACCATGGCAATGGCTGGCATATATCTGTTTACCCCACTATCATAAAGTACGAAGTTACAAAACCCCAGCTTGGATTGTAATTGAAAAACATGTTTTGCGCATTAAATGTAGGAAATATGGTTGGAAACTGAACATATGAAAAATATAACACATATGTCTGCAGTATCCAGTCATTTTCGTGCTACAAATTCAAAGTGGGTCAGTTTACCCCGGCAGCACAGCACAGTTCAATTTGACCCAAATAGGTCGAAGCGACATCAATGCTACAATAGATCTCCTTTCTTTCAAGAGCAAACCAACTAAATCTAATTTTCCCCTCCATCCCAAGTTACCCAAACACCTCAATTTTTGCCCTGTGTTGATCCGACACCACTAAGAGAACATTAGATTCATTTAACCACTCAAGGGAGTAAACTGTCAACTCCACCTGCGTCATTTCCAGGCATTTATTGTGTGAAAAGTTTGGATTGGAAGCTGGAAGTAAACACACCTCCTATTTAATGCTGTAATGTTAGTTTCACAGTGGATAAAAGGAGAAAGAGCAGTCCTGGTTGGGAGGGGGTGGGGGTTTCCTTAAGAGGATTGGTAATGCCGGCTGCTCCGTGGTGGTAGGAGCAGTTAAAGCCTGTGGGTAGTCTTGTCCTCAAAGGGACGGAAAAATGTCTCTCAGAGGAAACAAATGGCGCCCTGCGTGGAGGGAGCTGGTGGTCGTCGTTTCTGTGCCTTTCGTCCCCCTGGTGCCATGCGGAGCCTCGGTGGAGGGCAGCCATTGACTTTGACCAGCCATTAACTTGAAAAAAGCAAACCCACAGCTTGGCTTTCCCCATAAGAAAGCAGAGGATTTACCCGGCTTGGCCGTTATCGATATTACACTGGATCAGTACCGGCTGTGTGTCCTCTTTGTTTTTTCTTCTTTGGTGACATAAATGTTCATTTTTTCTTTTTTTTGGGAGGGATATGTTGCAAGTTGTTGGCAGCACAAAGGTCACGTTGTCATTACTTTGGGGCCATGTGAGCGGTAACGAAACAGTAAATTGGTCCAATACACAAAAAGTCAGTAAATAGAAGATGAAATGATTTGAACTGCATGAAGTGACATATTAAAATGAATTGCTAGACGACTCTACACAGTGGTTCACAACCTTTTTGAGTTCAGAAGAATGAAGTGGGCGTTTGCGACCGCCCAGCTTTGTTTAGTTTAAACAGCTAGCACCTCGGTGTTGCTCCTGGGACGGTGGATCTTTGATGCAGAGACCTTTTCACACCCCTCTGAAAAGCTGGTTGGAACTCCAAGACAAGTCAGACTCAAAATATCTATTATTATCATAGAATAATGATTCCCTAGAGTAGATGTAATAAGAAGAAACATACTTCAACTGTCTTGTTTATTTTTCATTTTCATGGAAAGACATTCATATTAAACTGGTGTGAACGAATCCACAGCAGAGGCATTAAAGTGTCTCATTGTTACTAATTTACTTTTTGGACGGTGGGGAGAAGTCCGGCATTGTGAAAAAATCAAAGGATTCCTCAGTATTTTGCCAGTAAATGGACATTATTACTTTCATCAACCACTGTAGATGCCGGGAACAGCAACCGGACCGCTTGAGAAGAGAAAAAGACACTTCAACAATATATTTCACACAAACATGTTTCATTCAAAAAATAATTTTTTTTGTATTAGATGGTATTATCATTGCTCATCCGTTGAACTAACCAGTTGTTTTGGGATTTGTTAAAACATTTATTAATTAACAGCTTGTTACTTTTTCGGGGGAAAAAACAACCAAAAAAGAACAGCACTGTGCAAATACTGAGAATTAGTTATAGATACAGAGTGGAAATAACGCATGTTTTTTTCTTTTCCTCCCAATCAATGTTGAAAGGCTGACAACGTGTGTTTTAACACACAGCAGCGGGCTTTATTGACTCGCAGCGCGGGGGGGCAACGCGCCGCTGCCCGGCGCCTCTCATTTACAGAGATGCGCTCAGCGGCCATTGTGGGTACTTTTTTTTTTTTTTTAACTTGAGACAATTCATTTTCGGGATGCGGCTCAAAGTTGGCGTTGGTTTGGTTGTTTTTGCAGCCTTTGGAGAGCAGCGTTTGCGTTGAACAGCCCGGGACGGCGCGGCGCGGCACGGCACGGCTCCCCGTCGGAGCCTCCGGTGCTAAAGGCTAAAGGCTAAAAGCGGCTCACGGGCTGTAATCCCCGTATGAGACCATCATGGCCGCCGCTCGCTGAGCTGTCAAGCGCTCCACAAAAGAAAAGGTAACAACAACAAAACAAACACACGCACACACAAAACCACAGACACAACTTACACGCGCAAGTAGAGTTTTTTGGTGGATTAAGCTCCCCGGGGGGGTTTTCCGCAGCAACGAGCCGATGTGAGTCTTTAAAGAAGCGGCGCGGCGTAACTTTGTCGACACGCTCGTTATTCCTCAAGTTATTTCGTCTCCGCGTCTCGTCGCGTCGATTCAAATCACTCGAACGCTATTTGACCACAAACCAACAAACCCGACCGTCTCCGCGGTTCGCTCCGACGAGGGAGCCGCGCGGCGGGAAGTTAACAGCGACAGTCGGTTCTGTTTGTTTGTTTGTTTGTTTGTTATCGTCACCCCGTGATTCCCGAGGCTCGTTACGGACGCGTCTCATCACTTTGTTGTGGTCAAGTCGAGCTGCGCAACGGCCGACCGCCTCAAATACGCGCTGCCGGGAGCCAAAGAGACACAGTTAGTTTGAGTGTTTGTTCTAAAACCGCACGCGCGCACCGGGGCGCGTTTACCTGAGTTACTGGCGCGCGGGCAGGTGAGGCAACGTTAACGTGCGGCTCTGACGTCGTTGCTTTGCAACCTGAATGATTGTGACAAATGAATATTATCCACGCGGAGCCGTTTTGAACCCGAGCCAGCAACAGGTGGACTTTTTTTTTGAGGGGGGGGTCCACTGCGATATGATGAGACGGCAGTCTCAACACACACACACACACACACACACACACACACACACACACACACACACACACACACACACACACAGAGCAAGGCTGGTTATTTTTTAATTGAAAGAGCACGGGGGAACTCGGTTGTGTTTCCGCACCGGGATTCTTTGAACGTGTTCCCTCCTCCTCCCACCGTTCTGCAACTTTCTGCCGAGTTTTGTTAAAAATCAGAACGGGAAAACAGTGGAAAAACAAAACCCCCTGACAGAAACTGCTCTTGCTTTTCCTCACTATATTTTCCTCTGCTGTAATATTTCTATTTTATTCTATTTTCTATCTATTTTCAGAAACCCGGGGATCACAAGAACAACGCCATGGATTCGGTGGATATTTGTGCAGCGAACTCCGGGGGAGATAACGGACGACGCGCCAACGAGAGAAACGGAGATTGGCACAAACGGCTCAACCTCAGGAGAACTGCCGTTCGGCCTCCGGCCGTGCAGAGTGCAGATAAGAGCGGGCCGGAGAAGATAGCGGGGGAGTGGCAGCGGGGCGCGGCGTGGCCTTTGTCGAAGAAGCCCCCCGACTCCCTGCGGCTTGCGTGCGCCCTGTGCGGTGACGAGTCGGAGTACGGTCCCAAAGACTTGGCGCGACACTTCGAGGAGAAGCACAAAGGAAGCCCACCGGTGTTTTCCTGTCGCTCGTGCGCTTTCAGCACGCACGAGCTCTCCCGCCTTCAGGTTCACCTGCTGAGCCACAAGGAGACCTTTTCCAGCTGCAGCGTCTGTCACGACGACGTCCAGCGCACGTGGCCGGAGCTCAGCGCGCACCTGACCGCTGTTCACTGCCAAGACGGCAGGTTTCCGTGCCGAATGTGTCCGAAATTCTCCACTGGCGACGTTGGAGTGTTTTTAGAGCACACGTATGCAGATCACTCGGGCCTGCAGGGGGATAAGGGTCCGTCGCTGCACGCAGAGGACGACTTTGGTCCTCAAACGGCCGCCGGGACGTTGCGTTGTCAGCTCTGTGGCTATGAAGCATCCCGGAAATGGCTGATCGCTAAGCACGTCAAAGCTGTCCATGTCTGCCAAAATGGGAATCAGAGGAAGAAAAAGAAGGAGGAGGAGGATGTGCGTTCCCTAGCGATGAAACCAAATGAGCCGGTACCAAAAGGGAAGCCCCGGTTGACGAGGAGTGCGGTGAGGGAGATGTGCTGGCTGACGCAGGACTGCCTCTCTCTGCCGGGACGAGAGTTCCTGGACAAGTACTGCCCTCTGTCGGATCCGCAGACGACCCTTCAGGAGACTCAACAGTTCCTGATGCAATCGGTCGGCGGGGAAACCGGGAACCGGAAATGGACACTGAAGACCGCTTTGTCGAACGTCCACCCGAACTCGGAGAAAGTGTGCCGCGTCAAACCCGTCGGACCTAGCCGTGCTGACCGTCAAGAACAAGATAACCGTGGCTCAGAACGGCGCAACGTACGCTAAAAGGTTGAAAGTGATGACGTCGTCCGAGAAGGAAACCTCCCGTCGGGCCGTCGACCAAAATGGCTGTCAGTCAAATCCGGGCGAAACCAATCCAACCAAAGGCGTCCCGCGTTCGGACCTGGGCGAGCCACCGCACCGCGTTCCAACGCGGACAAATGGACAGCGTCGGGAACCAAAGCGTGACCAGGAAACGGAGGGTCAGGGGAAAAAAAACGAGGAGCCAGCGCTCGACGATGGGATGGACACGCCCACTGAACTCAAGTCGACCAACGAGTCGGAAGAGCCGCCATCCGGTCACAAAGTTGCACCAAAAAACAAGAGGCGAAGACGGGCAGGCTCCAAACGGCGCGCTAAAAGACCATCAGGAGTCGCCTTAAAGATAGTGTTGCAGAAGAATCCGGTGAAGGAGAAGCAGTGGGTGTCTTTGTCTCCGTCGGGTGACCGTCCTGGAGCGCCATGCCCACAGGCGGCGCTGGAGGAGACGGCTCAGATTCTGAAAAACGCGACGCTAGGTGACGCACGGCAGAAGGAAGGCACCAACGCTCCCTCTGCTGACCTGGACGACCCCTCTGACGCCGGCGCCTCCAGTCCACCGTCCTGGCCGGGGGCAGAGCTCCGCCCCGGTCGGGCCGCAATGCCGCCGGGGTCCAACAACGAGGACGGCGACGCGCTCAGCGGCTCGCCGCCGTCGCCGCACGGAGAAGCAAAAGTGGACGTGAGTCGCTCGGCCCGGGAGGCCGGCCCGTCGGATTCGCCGGCTGCAGCGGGGAGCGAGGTGGAGACGGGACCCGAGGACGCGGTGCTCCAGACATCAGGAGGCGGCACGGAGGGCCAGGGGTCTGCCGATGAGGGGAACTCAGCAGCTGGAGGAGCGGCGCCTCTCAGCGGCTCCATCAAGTCCTCCGCTGCCTCCATATGTGTCGTCGCAGCACCGGGTGAGACGCCAAATTCTATACCTATATTTGAATACTCAGTTTACAAATAGCAAACCAAAGTCAAAGAAATAAAAAGTAAGAAGCTGATAGAGACACATTTCTTGAATTTACCTGAATAATAACTTTAAAATTAAGGTTGAACCGCAGATTATATGTAAGATAAATATACATGCAAATTTGAAATTTACAATATTTTCCCCTTTTAAATTGAATATTTCATAATCTCTGATATTTGTCTTGCAGGGAAGGTAAACTCTGAAGGTGTACTCCTTGTTCTCCCTGCAGAGCAGGAGGGGGCTGGAGACACAGGATTGCCCGCCGAGCCCCGCCCACATCTCCTTAGAGACGTCCACGGTGGCCCCTCGCCGCCCTGCGGCCGCCAGCCACCACCGCTCGCCAAGCACCTTGAGAGGACCCTGAAGCTGGTGGCCATAAGTCCGTCTCAGCCGGTGAAGCGCCCGGGGGCGACCAGCCCGCCGTGGTGCTGAACCACCCGGACGCCGACACGCCGGAGTCGCCCGTATCATTGAGGTCGTCCACCGGTACAGAGGGGAGGTGCAGAAGGTCGTGCTGTCGCGGAGAACCGCCGACGCTCTCTCGGCCGAGGCAAGCGACCCGGAGGACTCGGCGGGCAGCGCCTCCGTGCAGGAGAGGTTCCTGCTGAGGCTGAAATTCCGCCGGTTGAGCAGGAAGAAGTACGAAGTGGTCGGGGCGGGCTCCCCCGGGGCTGCGGCGGGCGCAAGCTCGTTCCGCTGCTGGTTTTGCGGCAGGGTCTTTGCGTGCCGGGAAGCCTGGATGTCCCATCGGCAGCGACATCTGACTGACTGGGAAAAAGCCAAACTGTGAAAACTCTTTAAAATGTTCCGTACACTGGATGAAAAGCAGAGATGCTTCTGTAAAAATGACGTTTGCAATACAACTAGACAATAATGGAAACCGTCTTCTATTTTTTGTTTAAGTCTTAAATCTGTTTTGTTTGTGTCGGGGGTTCATTCTCAGGGTAAACATTTACCTATCGGAGTCTCTTTGTACATTAGTGATGACCTGTAAAGCCATGTCCACCATTTAGTTCCTTTGTGCCGTTTGTCTACGCAGTAGCTTTATTTAAGGTGATCTAAGTACAGAACACTGTAATATGTGTATTTGCCATGCTGAATCAGTTCATGTACGGGTAGGTTCTACAGCGCGATAGCTGTCTCACAAAGTTATTCAGACGTATCTGAACTATGTATTTCAGAAAAAAGAAAGGAAAAAAAAACAATAAGCTGTTTTATTCAACATTTATTTATGACATTTATGTTTAGATTTTATATGCTTTTTTATTTTTATTTGGGAGAATTGGAAGAATCGGTATATTTGGAAAACAAATTTGAATTGAATTATGTTCAATTAATAGTGTTATCTGTAATAGATATATTTATTTAGCCAATTATCCCCAAAATCACAATTTAATTTAAATAGAAAATAAGAAATGTACGTTTTTTCTTTATGTCGATGTAACACTGGCAGAATTGCTTTAAATTGGAATTTAGGAGGTCTGTGGATCATGGGCTTTTTTATTGTTTTGTAATTTGTTAATTATAGTTTTCCATCAATTTTTCCTCTTGACTTGAAATGATAACGCTATCTTTTAATTGCACTATGAAAGGAGGATTTCTATTGCCCGTTACCTCACCTTTATCAGGCTTAAGCTTCTGACAATCTCAAACCTGCGTCCTACTGTAGTTTCACGGGTTCACGCCTTCAGTATTCCGCGGGAGAATCACGGACCATCAGACCGCGTGGTGCTCGTGTCCGTGTGTCTCAGTAACTGTGTTTTGTATATATTTTTCAATTTGGATAAAAAATATGTAAACTTGTGTACATAGATACCCAGATAGAGGTACTGTAAAATATGACTACAGAGTTCTCACCAAGTGCCTAGGAATACATGTTATGCAATAAAATGTGAGTATAAGAGCATTACTTGTTGACCGGACAATAAATAAACCAGTCAGTCGGTTCCTGGTTGTGTTTTTGTGATGACTGTTTGTGAGATGCAGTCATAAAACACAAGTAATAACGTCTTTTAATTTTAATTTTATTAAAACAAAAAATATACAACAGTGTGTGTTTCGGCTGTCCAACATATTGCTGTCATAAACAAACGGTCTACCTGCTTCCTTCTCTCGGCACCGTCTCCTTCCTTGTATTCCTTTCACACTGTTCACATCTCAACATTAAGGGTTAAGGAAACATCTGCGGGGTTAAGAAAACATCTGCGGCGGTGCTGCTGATCCAGAGGTGCTGGCGCGGCGGGGAGTTCTGTTACCAGTCTGACGGGAAACGCGGCGGGTGGGCGAGGGGCCCTTCTAGGGCCTCGAGGGGAAGCGCAGCTTGGTGGCGTCCTTGGCGTTGCTCTGGCTGTCGATCAGCACCAGCGGGGTCCTCTGGTGGTTCTCGATGATCTGTGAGACGCTGCTAAAGTGCTGCGAAAAGAGAGTGATATCTTTAACGTGTCCCTGAAATGAATGAGTGATTTCACGTTGAATACTTCTTTTTCTGTGAAGCTTTTTCCTCGTGCGTCCAGTTGTGTGCACAGCTGAGTTCTCTCTAATTCATCCAACCCTGGCGTACCTCCTCCCCTCTCTTCTCTCGCCCCAGGGCGTACTGCTGCGTTGTTGGGATGAAGCGGATCGGGATGTTGTACACTCGGCCGTTGTAGAACACCACCAGGGTGTAGGGCTGCTGTGCGTCCTGACCCGAGCTCTTCCTCACCATGAAGGCCCCGCCCTGAAAGAGCCAATGGCGGTGGCGTTATGACGTGGAGACCAACCGCAGACCTTTCATTTGGATGATGACAGGATTCTCACCTTGTTTGAGCGACACAGGGCGTTGTCGGCAGTCCTGCGGTCGCATGCGCCGGCATACCAGGGTTGCTTGCCGATGTCTGAGTCCTGTAATCAAAGGAAATGGAGGGTATGGTTTCGCGCCAATGCATCTATTTCAATTATTTATTCATCTTTACAACAGAAGAGTTGCAGGAGCGCACCTTGTCTTGGTCTGTCGACCCATTGTCAGCGGACACGCTTCCTTTGTCGGCCGGTCCTGGGACCACAGGAGACACAAACGTTATCATGGTGATGGTGGTTTTTGTATTTCTGTCACTACGTGGCTGCCCGTGTCTGGGAGAGACGAGCAAGGGCTGTACTCACTGGGGGGGGTCGGCGGTGGAAAAGTGATCCTGCGAGAGAGACGAGAAACAGAGGCGATTAAACGCAGTCTGCCCGGGGTTTCACCGGCGTCGGGTCAAACTGACATGCGTCTTACTTTGGCCACTTCATGTCCAGCGTAAAAGCCTTCGGCGGGGGCTTCTGGTCGCTCTGCATCGCAGGCAGCGTCCGGCCTGTGGAGATCCAGACGATTGGTGATCGGGCTGAGTTTAATGAGTGGAAATCGAAGACGCGTCCCACAAATGAAATGTGTAAATGTTTTGTTTGGGAAAGCTTATGTTGAACATTTGCTTTGTCTGCATTTGTCTCTTTGAACTGGAGGAGTTTAAACGTGGGACATCCATGAGACTTGTTCTTTAAGTCCCCTGTATATGCAGCATGTGTGTGGAAACCGAAGGCTGAAAGGAATCCATCCATCCACCCACTCATTGTCAAACCGGTTATCCTGCACCCAGGGTCGCGGGGGGGCACTTTGGGCAAGAGACGGGGAGACACACGACCACAGAGACAAACGACCATTCACACTCATATTCACACCTACGGGCAATTTAGAGTCTCCAATCAACCTGATCCCCAGGACATGTCTTTGGACTGTGGGAGGAAGCCGGAGAACCCGGAGAGAACCCACGCAGACACGGGGAGAACATGCAGACTCCACACAGAAAGGCCACTGGGCGGAGTCAAACCCAGGACCTTAAGGAAAGGAATCCAGAAAGCAAACCAAATGCTCGTCCGTAATTTCACAATGTTTAATCAAAGTTCCGCTTTGACCTGTATGTGTGAGTCCACATATCTCAATGTATTTAAAAACACTCACTTTCAAATTCCCTCGGTTTTAAAACAGGCTTCTGCAGAAGAAGAAAAAAAAGCAATGATTTTGAGCATCACAAACAGAAGCATTAAACAATGATGTATTGAAGGGTATTTCTCGGCTCCTACCGACAGTTTTGGAAACCTGTTGAGAGAGAAAAAAAAGAGATGACCAGACATTCAGTTATTCCCTTTAAGCTTTAAACAGACATGTCATTAAAACAAATATTTGGCTGAGTGATGCTTACTCTCTGAACAAAGATCTTGGGAGAGAAGGACCGTCTGCAGGTTTATCCTTAGAACCTAGAGGAGCAAACAATGACAAGTTATCTCCTACTGTCCTTTTACTGTAAATAAATATATCTTTCTGTCCGCTAGATGACAAATCCCGCTAGACGGTCTTTCATTTCACACTCACTGTCAGCTGGATTACAAACTTCATATTCATCGTCCTCCGCGGGCTCCTGGATCTAGAAAACAACCAAAATAACCAATAAGTCTGTGTCGCCCCGCATGCGTGGCATGCAGCAAATCTCCGCAAAAGCACGGCACTTACAGCAGGAGATCTCCCCGTATTCCCTCTGAAGAAGAAACACAAGTCATTATTAGTACGGTAGGAAGGCAACGTCGCAACTTTTTTAGCAGAAAGCGGGTGGCACTCGGGCCTACCTGGGGCTGGGCTTCGGAGGTAAAGAATGCGACTGTCTTGCGGGGATCGGACACGCTCTGCAAGGGAATGTTTTGGTCTCAGAATGCAATCAAGAGAACCTTCGAAAATGCTGCTGTTATAAGTATTGTGCGTCTATGCAATTAGCCGGCTCCCACTGACCTGCTTGTGGGTAATGATAATGAGTTTTCCTGTAAAAGATACCATAAAACAGAACAACCCGGATGAATGCCACATGTAAATGCTCTTTGAAAAAATACTCGCAGAGGCCGTAACTTAAAGCGTACCTTTTTGTCAGGAACTTCGTAAAAGTCTGCAAGGCAAACAAAGCCAGAATTAGACACACTGCAGAGGCACAAAGGCACAGGTTTATTTGTGCTGGATGTCATTGCTTTCATTGCTTCAAACTGTCTTTAGCGTGCAGCAGGATCTCCCCCTGGGCGTTTATTTTAGCGTGTGCGTGCGTGCGTGTGTGTGTTTTGACTCCCTGCTTTAGACTGTCTCTTTTTATTTACAAAGACGCATATGCCTGTAATCTGTTCATTATGTTTTAACTGAAAAGGAGGCCTCCCTTTTGGTCCCCGTGTTCAGCCATGTTGGCAACATGTTGCGGTTGGTCGGGACACTACTTAACAGTTATTGGATGGGCAAGAATGGCCCGTGGATGACACCACCCTCATAGAACTCATCTCTGGTGGGGATGAGTCCGCCTACAGGTGGGTTTGACCACCTGGTGACCTGGTGCGAGCTGAGCAACTTGGAGCTCAACGCTCTAAAGACAGTGAAGATAGTTGTGGATTTCTGAAGAATGCAGGCCCAGCTGCCCCCATCACCCTGTGTGATTCCCCACCGCACCGTGGAGTCCTTCCACTTCCTAAGCTCCATCATAAGCCAGAACCTCCGCTCCATCACCAAGAAGGCTCAGCAGAGGATGCTCTTCCTGAGGCAGTTGAAGAAATTCTAGCTTCCAAAGACAATGATGGTGCACTTCTACACGGCCATCATTGGTATGCTGCAGCCACAGCCAAGGACGAGGGTGATTGGCTGCAATCTGCGGTCAAGACCCTGGACCAAGCAGAAAAGATTGGAGCTGACCCCTCTCACCCTTGACATAAGCTGTTTGAGCCCCTTTGCCTCTGCGATCAGGACCAGGACCTCGTGCCACAGAAACAGCTTCTTTCTGTAAGCAGTTAAATAAGGTGGGGGACCCCCACTTACTCTGTCTCCCCCGTCCTGCACTCTGAGAACCATTTATGCACAATTTTGTCTACATCCTGTCTGCTCTTTATTCAATACACTGACCACTTTTATTCCCTTTGTATTTTTACACTTGTGTACTTTATTTTTATCTGTTTGTTACATGGACAGGATCAATAATTCTAGACCCTGTTGCCAACTGGTGTTGAGGCACAACACTGTTACTGTTGTACGTACCGGGACTGGGTGGACGCTCTGCCAAAGGTGTGTGCAACATGTGGCGGTTCTTCGCTGCTCGGGCCCCAGCGACCACCACAAGATCTTTGCAGGTACAAAGACGATCATCAATATCATCCTTTTTATTTTATCTTCATCACCCTAGCGGCAGTAGTTTCCATATGCTGTTTCCTTTTAATTTATTCTATCCTAACACTCTGTCTCCTCTCTATTCCGGTGCATATCTCACCTGGGGATGGATCTTCCTCAGGCTCCACGTAGTTGTCGTCATCGTTGCTGCAGTTGGGATTGACGTAGTCTTCCTGCAAAAGCGACATCTTTTCTTTGAAAATGAATTCAGCGATGTACAGGGTATGGCAAAATTCTCTGAGACGCAGCATCGTCTGAGGGAGGGTCTGTATGGGAAGTTTATTTACTTCATCGCTCGCCAGCTGAGTGGGTTCGGGGGGCAGTTGTTTGGAGCCTTTGCCCGGGCGCAGGGGCTTCCTGGGGGGACGACAGGGGCGGTTTCGGTGGTCGTCTGGAAAGGAGAAGCAGAAACGGGGCGTCAGGCTTTGCATGGAGCACCATTCCGGAGCCCTCTGTGTATTGTGGCTTTGGTTTGGAAAGGAGAAGTTTATGAAGAATAGAAACTCTGTGTGAAAAATAATTTCATCACGAGGAGACATGGTCGCCATGTGGTGAGAAATAAGTGCAGATATAGACAGTTTTTTTGCAGGTGACGTCACTGACCGAGATACTCCCCCCTTCCCAAGGGAGGAAAGGGCGTCGGGTTGAAGGCCATGTGGCTGGGAGGAGGCTCGTAGCTGCAGTCTTGGTCCTCACGTGGATCCTCATACATGTCATTATCCTGGGAGCCACATATTTATAATGTTTCCAAACAGACACCAGGGGGGAGAAAAAAATCACTTTCAATTATTTAGAAATGAAGAATTCCTCTACTTACATCGTCCAGATCAGAGAATTCATCATCATCTCGCCTGGCATCTGTAAACATTTAAAGAGATTTCAATACAGCGAGGGAGAAATGTAAAAACTAGCTGTGTATCTCATTAAACCCAGGAAGCTTAAAAAAACGATCAAACGTGCATTGAATTCACTCGAGCAGGTGTCAGAGCACATTGTCTAATTATAGATCCGAGCCGACTGTTGGGGAACCAGCAGAGTGCATCTCCTCACCTCTTCAACTGACAAAAAGTGACATAATAGTTGCTGTTTTTGTGATGCAGCTGGAGCAAAAGCATGTATGTATAAACTCATCTGGAAACTGGTGTTTTGGTATCTACTTGTTCCCTAAAGCCCAGTCAATGGGGGTTTGCTTCATTTTTTGTCTATTTTCGTTTGTACATTCCATGAGCACGGATCCTTTTCGTCAGACTAAGAACACATCTCGTAGGTGGGGGTTTTCCGATGGAGAAGAAAAGGCGATTATGAAATCCAAACCGTAAGGGTATTAACAACCCAGCTCACAGTACAACAGGTACTCACTGTACAACAGGTACAGTGAGCTGACTAACACAGCTGATTATGCACTGTTTTTGTGATTATATACTGCATTATCTCCATAATTAGTGAAATAAGCAGACCATCTTAACATCTAGATGTGAAAATCAACAAACTAACTCGTAAATTCGTTGTAAATTACCAGAGCATTTCAATGGTGTACTTTAATTAGTAAATCTACTCCACTACATATTTCAAAACAAAATATGTTACTTTTTACAGATTTTTTTGACTTTTCTGATTTTTCTAGTTATATAATACTTTGTGTTTTAAAACCATTTGATCTGTTTACAGAATACAAAGTGCCCAGAGGTATAAAACGTATTAACTCATTAAACATAATACATCAGTAATAATATTCCTGTAATATACAGTGTACATATTATAATATGCTACTTTTTACTATACTCTGTAAGAAACTATTCTGCCTAACTGATCTTTTAACTGTATTTTGAGTACTTTATAAATTCACTCCTCAAACACATGTAATGTTGCTGATGTGAAATTATGAAAACCAAACTTCTCTGCTCTCTCTTGCTGTTAGGGAATCCTGCTTATTGTGCCCACATGCTATACTTCACTGTGATGCTTCCTCCTGTCCATGGTGGATATTTAGAGATCCCATCCTACTATGACATGATTTACTTAACAAGGGGAGTGATTCCCGTGCTGAGGCCGTGGAAGACACATTCAGACAATCCGCGGTGACTCTTTCACTGTATTTGTCTCGAACATTGGATGCCGTTATTTTCATCATTGTATGTTATGTTGCAGCACGTGTCTCGATCCTCTTGCGCAATAACGCCTCATGACTCACCTCTGTAATCTCTGGCGGGCACTTTTGGACTCGGTTTGCTCTTCAACCTGCCGTACAGAGAGACAGTGACATCAGCAGCAGGTAGAGAAATGACTCCTCAATGCAACAGCACTTATTCTCTGCGAAAGAGACATTCCATTTGCATACCTACGTCCCAGCGGACGCTTGCGCTGGGAAAAGCAGCTGGCGGACTGCTGTGTCGTTGGTTTCTGTAAAACGTTTCATTGTAGCATCTGTCCTTTGAGGGGACAGGTTTGCCATAAAAGGATCTCGAAACAGCCATCTGTTTGGCCTTTGGGTCTTACTCTTATTCCATCGGTTGAGAAAGAGGAATTGACATTCTCTGATAATGCGTACATGCACCACACAGACACATCCTCAGACACCTGGGTCCCAATATTAGCCAGGAGTACAAAGTGGTGAAGGTCTGGAGATGTTTGAGACTGACCTTCTCAGTTTGTTCAGCAGGCTGCCGTCGTTCTTCTTGATGTCGAGTACGATCTTCTGAAGCTGCCTGGAAAACACCATTTGTCATTCGCAGACAATGTATTTTGCAGCGTACAAGTAGTCACTGTCAGCATTAAAGGGCGCTTTGGAGAGACAGCCGCAGCACTCATGTCAATTAGTCACTCCTCATTTTCTCTTGAATTCTATATTTTTTTGACACGGTTTGTGTGTACATTCTGATTTATGAATCTTAAAGCAAATTTCTTTAGATAAACACAAATTACTTTTTTTTAAATTAAATTTGATCCCTTTCCTTGGTTGCCGAAGAAAGTTAACTGATTTTGGCGGCATATTACAAAAATATGATAAGTTGCGTTTTTCTTTTCACCTAAATCACCATCATCAATTAATGCCATTATGCCGCAAAATAAAACTGAACTCCTTACCGAATCTTTACCGTAGCAGGAGCAGCGAGTTTACTTAATGTATCCATATTCATGTTTAACATCTCTGAGTCCTCTCGGGCACTGAATGTGTGCCGTCACAGGGTTCGCATAAATATGACTGGAACTGTCTTTGAGTTAAGTCTATGTCATAGAGGGGTGGAGGCAGTTCATTCTGACCAGCCTCCACAGGAAAAAATCACTTCTCTTTTCCGCTCCCCTTCTCTTCCCCTCTCACTCACACGCGCACACTCACACACACACACACACACACACACGCACACGCACACGCATACACACACACACACACACACACACACACACACACATGCACACATAAACACACACTTAGGATAATAGATTACAGTGAACAAAACTATTGTATCGACGTGTTTTGGCCCTCTATATTTGCACTGTCTACCAATTTCATTTGCGGTGTATAAAAGCTAAATGTACAATGTATCACACGAGTGAGCTTTTTTTCCCTAACTGGTCAGCCGTTTCACAGACAATCTTCTGGTCTGACAAGTGAAGCCTATTTGCCTTAAACTTCTTTCTAACAGCCAGCAGGGTGCAACTCCTCCGGTTGTACACAGATTAAAAAAATGATTGTATTACAGTTTTTAACAACTGCTTACACACAAAGTATTTTCATGTCATACCATTTTTGAAACCTCTCACCCAAAGTGCAAAACTACATGCCAAATTTTCAAAACCATAAGCTATTTCTCAGGGAAACTCTTCTTTCAAAACACACTACACAGAATTCTCTACCTAAAACACAAACATCTATCAGGAAGTGACTTGCTTTCCTTTTCCAAACACAACCAATCAAAATGCTACACTTATTCACCAGGCCACACAGACACACTTCTCAGATGTGCAAACACTAATTGCTTAATGATCACTAACCAATCACTGCTTTAGTGGGCCTATAAATAGGTAAAAGGTCAGATGAAACAACTTTACAAGGTGCCATTTGAGAGAAACTCAGTCAAGAATCTGCGACATGACTTGTAGAGGTATGTATACAACACTACTTCCAGTACTTCAGACATACCATATTTACTCATCTGTATATAATTTTGTCTGTTAAAGAGAGTATTGGAGATGGATGGCCATGTAATTCGCCACAAATTTATTTATGTGCTTCAACCTCACCAAAACCAGGCGCCGTGGACGAAATGTAATACGATTATAATATAATATAATCACTCAAAATGGGGTCCTCCATCACAATGCCACACTGGGTCCATACAACACCGGCCATATACTCACTTTTCTGGATGAAATTCACACAATGCTTGTCCCTGATCCAGATCAGGCGCCTGCTAGATTTGTGGTTATATGGGACAATGTTAGATTTCACCGGGCTGTTCTGGTCCAAAACTGGTTTGCCACCCATCCACAATGTGTAGTTTTGTACCTACCCCCATATTCACCTTTTCTAAATCCCATAGAGGAATTCTTCTCAGCCTGGCGCTGGAAAGTGTATGATCGCCAACCCTATGCCCGCATGCCGCTTCTCCAGGCATTGGAGGACGCATGTGGGGACATAGAAGTTGCCTTTGTCCAAGGTTGGATACGCCATGCTAGGATATACTTCCCTCGATGTTTGGCAAGAGAAAACGTATCTTGTTATGTGGCCCGAAGTATTGTGGCCAGACCCAGCTCGGAGAAGAGATGGAGCTTAGCACTGGGGACTGCACCCCCTCTGCCCCCCTGCCAATTCCTGGACCGGGACCCCACATACAATTTACTGTATTCTACTGTAAAGAATATACTTTTAGTTTACATGTTTATAGTTTTGTTGTATGCTAATGTATACAACAGTAATGTTTGGCCTAATAAATATTTTCTGTTTATACATTTCATTGGCGTTGGTGTACTTGTTACCCCTCTCAGCACATCACTTTCACCGTAGAACATTGTATTGAAATGTAGATATAAGCCTATGAAAGACCAAAGAGCTTTAGATTTAGAACAGCAGTGTTTACATGGTATATCCAAAAATGTATTATTATGAAAGAAGTGTTTGCCATTTGACACAAATGCTTCATTCTGACATGTGTTTATGGCATTTTGTAATGCAGTGTTGCATTTTGAAGGAAATGTGAGGCATTTTGCATTTTGTGTGTGCAGTTATGAGAGTTGTGTGTAGAGTTTTGAAAAAAGGAGACTTAGTTTTGAAAACGTGTGTAAGCAGTTGGTAAAAACTGTAATTAATATACTTACCTAATCTACTACCCCAGTAAGCATTGTAATAATCAAAAGCTCTTTCATAAATCTACCAAAACGAGAGAAGTTGTTTGGCTGGATTCTTCCAGATATTGTCAACCGGGCTTCAATTTTGATCACGTTCGTTCTTTCAATTTGGTGAATCCCCAACATGAGTGGTTGACCTGGACAAAGAAAGAGGCGGACATCTGTTTTCTGGACCACAGAGGCCTGGTTCAGCATTGACAAAAAAGCTACAGAAATAGATAAGATACAATTGAAGAAAAATAGCTAATATGAAAATAATTGGGACAACACAAAGAATAGTTGTTTTATCCAACATGAACTTTAATGCTTGGTCCTCACAGATTAAACACTATCTGGACCGAACAAAGGAAAAATATAAATGAGAAAGGGAGAATTACACAATATCCAGTGGGCATAAAAGCGGCTCGGGGAAAGTAAAAGGTGAACCAAGGTAAGAGTGAGCGCCATCTCAGGTGGAAGTACCACCTCAGTACGGCCCTTATCCAGATCCCCCTCCCAACCCTTATGCGCCGGTCTCCCAGAAACCACAACAGGCCTCGTACACTCCTCCACAGGCTCGCTATTCCCAACCTTATTCCCCTCACCAAGCAGGACCACAACCAATGACGGGGGCCCCACTATACAGTGCCTACAGCCAACCGAGAAGACAGTGGGGAGGGGGCAAGCAAGGCAGAGGTTAGAAATAATGGGAGGCAGTTTAGACAATGAAATAATAATTGTTTCAACTGTGGGCAAACCTGCACATTGGTCCAACGGATGCCCCCAATCACCTAAGGGCCAGACGCCTCGGACCCCACTCAATACCCTCATGATGTCTATTATGATGTCTCTATTATGCAAATGGGCTAGGGATGTATCACTGTAACGACCCAACAACAGTGTGCCACGCCCCACTCTTTTAGCCACCAGGTGCTGGAAGCTGAAATCCAACAGACACTGAGTAACAAGGCAGAGGTCTGGTGGGGGAGTGGAAGACTATGATCTGCATGAGACTGTTCACTGTTGGGGCTCATGGTTCAAGATATTACACCCGACTGAACCACTGGAACAATTTGTTGTTGGCGCCTCGTGTGTCGTCCCCTTGCGGCTCGCGCAAATGACGACACTCTTTCAACCAATCAACGTTCTGCAGTGAGTCTAGCTCCACCCTTTAGTACCAAACAACTGTGCCAGGTACCCCAACGGAACGGTACCCAAAAAGTGGTACGGTACGGTTCGGATTTTTGGTACCATTCTCAACTTTTGGCAGTGGAGACACAAATAAAAGGGTACCGACCCGACCGGTACCGTACTGCTCGGTGGAAACGCGCCATAGACTGTTGTACACACATCACATTGGATAGTGTCGTTCTTACAGTCAAACACGTTCACACTTTCCACGACAAGGCATTGACCAATATGATTATAAATAAATGCTTGGGACATGGTGCAGCTGTTTTCAGGATGCTACAGTACGGAATAAGGTAGTAATGTCAAGTTGGATTTTATGGTTTAATTTATTATCTTCTAAAAGTGGCTGTATATCGTTTAGCAAATTTACTGATGCTAACTTTGATAAACGTTTTACACGGTTGCCATGTGTGGCAGTATGCAGTGATTGGTCTTAATAACTTTCAGCTGGGTCTGGATCACAGCCAATCCCTACATGACAATACGGTATAAAGGCGGCTTCAGAGCACCTGTCTGCATTTCATTTGCCAGGGGCTGGGGTTATGACACCTTCTGGTGTCTTTCACGCTGCTTCGTGTGGTGACAGGTAGGCTGTCGGCAGCAACTGTATTCGCTCCCACGTTGTCCGTCCAGTGCTCATTCAAGTGCCTTTTGTGTCCCAGAAGCTCACTGATATGGCTGCGTACGGATCTCCACTTGATGCACTTAATGTCCACGCTGGTAGTTCTCGTGGTAGCGTCGATCCCTCCGACCCATGCTAATTGGCTGAGGCGGCCTGACCGGTATGTAGCGCAGTGGCTTTAGTTCCCTCCTCCAGCCATAGTAAGGCTTTAATGTCTGTTTTCCTCTGCAGGGCAAAGATCATTGAGCATCAACTCTACACCCGCTAACCTGCCAGAGACCACTGCTGCTTTTCCTGGTGTTGGTTAAACTAACTCTGCTCGGGTTTGCTTTGGTTGAATTTACCATGTTGCTTTACTTCGCCTTTTGCTAAACCCACCTTGTTTGGGTCTGCTTTGTCGTTGGCCTCCCCCACATTGGCCTCCCCTTGCTGTGGGCCTCCTACTGGGTCCACATTTTAACTGTGTGTACGAGACAGGCCATACTTTGTTATTTGTCAGTTTGTCAATTTGTTAATTTTCTTATTTTGTGATTTCGTTAAGCTTTGGTTTAGCAGTTTGTCTTATTTGTATAGTTTTTGGTTAACTAATTATTTTCTTTCTGTTTTGGTGTAGTTTCTTTTATTTTAAACCTGTTGCCCTCATCTTTCCCCCCCATTCAGGTGCTGAGTCTGCGGTGGTGGATTAGTGTCCCAGGTGGTGGTCCTAATTATGTTATGTTTTTGCATGTTGTTTGAGTTTGCTTCACTTTTAGTTGTTTCACGTGTGGTGCTCCTTGGGTCCCCTTTTCTTTGGACCGTCCATCATAAGTCTCAGCCCTGATTGGGACAAGCAACGGGGGAACCAGAGTGAAGAGGTTTTTACCGTTGTTTTTAAACCGTAAATTGAATTGAATGAAATTACATTGTGTCTTAAACTATGTCTCTGCATCATTTGCAACGAACCTGAGTGCCTCCCCTTAGTTTGGGTGAAGATTTAAAACAATTCCCTGGGTGGCGTTGTCTGGCAACATAATATTTAAACTGCCCTCCCCTTTACATCACGTGTCGCTACAATCGGAACAAACTCTTCAATATATGAGATGCAACCCTTTTACTTGATAAAATGAAGTTGAATGGGGTCCGATTTGAGACATATTTAATTAAGCACAATTCAAGCAAATTTCAATTTCACTTTTGTTGCGTTCATGAACTCTACAAGGAAAGTTTATAACTTAAAATATAAATTACATGTAAAAGGGATATGACGGATGTCTTTAGGCAGCAGTTTCAAAGCTCTAGTACTCCATCCATCCATTTTCAACCGCTTATCCAGGGTCGGGTCGCGGGGGCAACAGCTCCAGCAGGGGACCCCAAACTTCCCTTTCCCAGGCCACATCTACCAGCTTTGACTGGGGGAACCCAAGGTGTTCCCAGGCCAGTGCAGAGATATAATCTCTCCACCTAGTCCTGGGTCTTTCCCGGGGCCTCTTCCCAGCTGGAACACCTCCCTAGGGGGGTGCATCGTTACCAGATGGCGTGAATGGCTGAGCTTCAACACTATCTTATTCCCACAATTATAACTTTTCATTCACAATGTTTGGGTCAAAACGTAGAAAATGTCATGCCGGTGTTTGATCCCACAAACAAACCCCACATCACCGCGTCCGTTAAGCCTAGTTTATGCTTCTGCGTTTTCAGAGAGACGCAGACGCAAGAGGCCCTTGCTGTGATTGGTCTGCTAACTACATCCTTTACGGCGTCTCACATTTCCGGTTTCATAGCACAATACCGCCATTATTAAAACATTAATAATTATTATTATATTAAAAGTTTTTTGCGAGAGAATGGGTCTGTTGTTTATTTAAAACTCCTTCAAATACTTTTTATTTTTTTTATTTTACCCAACCATCTTTCGGTTCAATAGACACACGTGTGTAGGTTTTTATATATTATACTATACCCCTTAACTCCAGTACATTAAAACAATTAAAATAACTGAAATAATTGAAGTATCCAATGGGATATGAAGAGCCTGCTATGTTTTACTCCCTTGACAACAAGTAAAATGCAGGTGACAGAACAACGAGGGGAGGGAGGTGAGCCAAGAAGACGGGGAGGTGTTTGGTTGAGGTGTGTGATGACAGTGGAGTGAAGGTTTTACTCACGGTTGATGGATGAGACTGAACTTGCTCATGTCACCGTCAGACAGGCTCTGGGGGAAGTAACAGAGAAATCCATTTTCAATTGTGACAAGTTGGGTGAAAATTGCAGAGTTCTCAAGTGACTGTGATGTCTCAGGTGAGGCGATACTACAAGGGGGTCACATTGTCACCAAACACGTGCATTGGAGCAGTGGTTCTCAAACTGAGGGACGTGTACCCCTGGGGGTACGTGGAGGCACTCCAAGAGATTGGATGCTTATTTTAACATCATTAAAAAACTTTGAAAAATCCTTTTAAAAATTGTTATTTTTTTCTTAGGGGGTACATCACTGAAAAAAAGGTGGAGAACCACATACAAACACATTTGGAGTGGCCACGCATCGCCTCTTGGCCAACAGGAGGTGGCAGCACGCGACTAAGAGCCATTTCATCTGCACTGTTTGGTTTGTTAAACTGAACCAAAGAGGGAGAAGAACCACGTTATTGGTACATATTGTGCACAGAGCACGGGGGCTGCAGGATCCGATCCGGTTACACACATTACACACATGCAAGAGGACACGTAGCAGCGTGTCATAAACCAACAGCACATAGGACACTGAACAGATGACCCAATCTCCAAAAGAAATAAAATAAGAATAAAAGTTTTTTTCACACTGTTGCCTGGTTTCTAATCTTTGAATTAAAGCTGCTGACCTTCAAGCGAAGCACTTGCTCCTGTGGTTGAAAAGATACACGGCCACGTTACAGACATTCAGAAATCACCAAACCGGCTGCCCGCTGCATTGGGATTTTGTGTTTGCATTTAATGTCTGCTCCGCAGTGGGGCAATTGTGATTCGCAAATGAAAGGAAATGATTACCATAAAATATGCAACAAAATCCAGCTAAATTATGTATTCCCTTTCTCATTCATAATTCATCGCCCTGGGTCGCTACTCGCCCCGTCTCTTCCCTGCCTCACACTTGCCGTGATGCGATGGCGATCCTGGGACGACAACTGTTTGGAAAAGTTTGCCCATGTCCCATGTCGTTGAGTGTTACAAAATGAGAGGCCTGTGCTAGGAGGCTAATGTACGAAGAGTGTTTGAGTTTTATGCGGCTAATTTATGAATGAATAATAATCCTGTGGAGTCTGATCTGGAGCAAAGGTGAGTGTGGACTGTTAAGATGCCTATAAATAGTCGATTTTTCAAAGCTGTTTATGATCGATGACACAGCTCAAGTTTCCTCGGTGTGTGAATGTGGGAGCGTGTGTGCAACAGCAGGACGTATTACCTTGAGGAATAAGTGAAAGCCCTTCAAGCAGAGCTTGTGATTTCATCATTTGTAAATCAGAAAGGGAGATCACTTAGTATGAAAGGCTTTACCTCCTTCAAAGAACTGAACCTTTGCCATGCAGATACACACTTGATCATCCAACTGGCCTACGGGAGAATATCGGTATAAAATCTGACTTAGCCTTTTGACACGGAAAAAAATTTCAACTAATCCGCCCCGGTGGATACTCAAACACCGCTCCCACATTGAATAATTTATAGGGGTGCCTGTGCTTGTTCAAATGAGACACAACAGCTCCGCAGGCTGCAGCCGCTCCTCTGTGCTGCGGAGCGGGACGCCTGCCTTAAAGCAGCGCTCAACGACATCCACCGGTTTTACACGCTTTTATAACATACATTCTAATGAGCATTTGTTAACGGAAAGTTTGATTTTTTTGGGGTTTGCAGTGACGCTTTGAATATCTGACGTTAGCGCGACCTGGTGGTAGCATTAGCAGCACTTAAAACACACAGTTACATGGTTACTGCAGCTAGAGCTTGCAGCTTCGTAAGGCCCTCGTCATATTAGCATGTTCTGACATACTGTTTCAAAGCATGATCATTAGGTCCTTCAAGTTCAGTCGGTGAACCTACTGACCTACTGCTAATTAGCAGTTGTACCTTAAGTATACTAAAGTAAAGCAAAAAGTATCTTACTAATGACAAGTTAGACTTTAAAATGAACCTCCAAACTTCACAGGAAGCGTACGAAATAGTTTATGATGTTAACTTGACTAACAATTCAAATGATTATTGACAGTCACATGACTGATACTGATGACTCACGCTCTGAAAGGATAAAACGTTTTGCATGTGAAACCAACTCCATTATGTCATTTTTGTTCTAACGCCAGTAACTCTCCCTCCATTCTAAACGATCTCTAGTACCATTCTACGAGTGCGGCAAAATAATAATAATAACACAGTAATACACCAGCACCAGTCTTGGTCCTTGAGGTCTTTGCTGTCAGATGTAAGCTTCCTGAGGCCCAACCAATAGAAACACTGTGGTTTAAATCACACAACCTGCCAGCTACACACCGTGTAACCCTTCCTGCCAGTTCTGACGCTGTGAAATCTCAGCCTCATCCGAAAGCAGCCACATAATTAACCACTCAACATTCCCACGTGGCTGTTTTGTTCCAGTTCGGAACGGCAAACGCGCGCGCGGAGGTGTTGACGCGTGGCGCGTTCGTTAAGGCCGTCCTTCAAAATGAGCTCCATGTCACGATAAAGAGAACAGCTTCGCCGCCCTCAAAATGAGCTTTGGTGTGTTCGCACGACAGCTGTTACTCGCTGTCGACTTTTCTATTGCAAATGTTCACAAATCCACCCTGAATGTTCCAAAAACACAAGCGGAACCATTGTGGTTTTAGGGTGTTTTTCTCCTGCTAGGCTTTGTTTCCTCTATTATCCACTGCAAGGGGACTCTAGCAAAATCTGAATAGGTTATACATGAACACCTAATCTCTTTTGAACATTGCATTTTCTCCTCTCTCTTTTTGACCACAGCTCGCCTACGTTTTACAAAGCTCCCATCATTTGAAGTTCTACGCGCCGCTGTACATATTTGATCCCGACAACAAAGCCGCCGTGTGATATAAATTGCCAAACATGTGTGCCGTCCCTTAGTTTGAGTGGGACTTCCAGCCAGGCGGCGGGCGGCGTCACAAAGATGGAGGCTGACAGCTCTTTTGATCCACTACAATATCTCTTTTAACCCGTCTACCTGTGCGAGCGAACGTGGCATCAAAGAGATGGCGAACACCTTCATCTATGTACGCTGCGCCGACGGACTCATTCCCGTCAACGCTGCAGCTCAGACAGAACTATTTTACATTCGCTGCTCGTTCTCCTAAATGACGAGAAGCTGCAGGTGAAATGTGATGATGTGTGCAACGTAGCAGCACGCATCCGGTCGCTTGCTCGATTCAAGCCTATTTTCATGAGGACCGCCGCGACCTTTGCTCCATCTACTTTATAAACAATATGCAAAGGAAGCCAAAGGTAAGGTTCAGCTGCAGCCTCGCCGGATGTCACTCAGAGCCCCCGGTACCAGCCCTCGGCCCTCTGACACGCGCTCCGTTACTGATGAGTCAAACTGAATTTAGCATAATAAAAAACACAAAGAATACATCCTTTCTCTGCCGCGATTTAATGTGACTAAAAGTCACATTTTGGCAGTTGTGCAGATGCTATTTATGGTGGTTTGATTGCAGAAGACCCGCCGTAGGGAGCCTTCGATCGACAGGTTTATTTGTTTATTGCTGATGAACCGGTCATCTGGGAGGGTTAATGAGATCCTCAATAGCAATGTTATAAGGATGGCGGCCCTCTGGCATAAAGATCAAATATGTAATTGCAATGTCCTGATTAAGGATGTTTCCTTTTAAGAATGCTACCATACCAAACCAGGGTTTGAAAATGCGTTACTGTTCATATGTAAATTGAATAAGTTGCAACGTTTTCCCTGTTTAACCAGGAAAAGAGTTCATATTTTCCTTAATAGTCAATCTTTGTCATTCCACGCAGTGATCATCTGTCTCCTTATAGACGATCTTTGCTTTCTCCGCAGACCGTGTTAATGAAGTAAGTTAGAGTAAGTAAGAGTGAGCAGGAAACCTATGATTCATCGAAAAATGAACAACTTTAATTTGAATATTGACGCATGAGCCATTCAACGTCGGGAGCTTCGGGGAAGATGACGAAACCTTTGAACATTTGATTGAAGTTCGGTGCGTTTACCGTTAGCTGTGTTAGCAAGAATGCTCCACAATATTTTGTGTTTTTTTAAAGTTGTCTATTGTATTAAAACCAGTCAGGACGCGAATTAGAAAGCGGTACAAATGTACATTTATGAATGTGTAATGGATATAATTGAATGCTCTAATGTTAATTACTTGTTATATTGTGTGTGATGTTTTAGCCATGCGGCTTGCAGGCCTAGTTGGATCGGTATTGAATTGAATTGTTGTCCTGCACGTGTGCACAGGCTGTTTTTTGTTGGTTAGCTCCATCACTGGAACCAGAAGCACTGTCCGGTCTGCCACCACATCTTCATCATCTTCATCCATCCACCACCAAGAGGACCCTCACACCGGACGTCACAGTGCGCCTGGAGTCCCTTTGACTTGACTATGGTTGTGCACAGAAGGGTGGTAGGACATTGTTTTGGGGACGATACTCGTTACGTTACGTTTTTCCCGATTGAACTCATTCCTGAGATCTCAGAGGTTGTCTTTATTTTTTATATTACCTGCTTGGACATTCTTTTGATGTGTGGAATCGTGCATTTGTTGCAGAAATGATTGTCTAATTGTGTTATAAATAAATCTGTTGTTTTAAGCATGATTTGGGGTGGACGTTTCCTGTTTCCAATTGAATACTCACCAGTCTCCTCATCGACCCTGGATTGAATTTGAATATTATTTTACAATGGAGCTGTTTTGGAGTAATAAAACGCATATAAAAAACATGTAATAATCAGTTTTGAACATTAGAGTCGGAAAAGCTTCAAGTGGCTGTTATGCAACAGGAACTTAGATGAAAGTTACCATCTGTAGATTACGAGAAGCATCAGCATGCCATGTCATGTCATGAATGGAAGAGGAAGTGGACTCCAATGAGCAACAACACTCATAACGAGAGCGGTAAAAAGTGATAACTACTGAACTCTGAGGTAAAGCATTTTGGAAACTGACAGATAAGGAGGTCAAAAAAAAAGTCTATGTGGCTGCAAAGGGCAGATTAAATATTAGCACGGCTTTGTCTGCTACAGGGGATGTAGCTTACATACGATGTACAATGACACACAAGGACAAAGAGACAAATCACTCTTTAAGCACACAGAAGGCTCTCTCTTTACAGTAAACTGGCCAGGTAATCCATCAGATAACCCACCGGAGTCCTTCAGAAGCTGCAAAAAAAGAAAAAGAAAGAAAAGCCCTGAACCACCTCGCCAGCAAAAGAGATTTCTTCTCCGTCAATCATTAACACTACTGTGGGAAACCGCTAATATGAACAGAACAGCTCGGAGCAAAGTTGAATTCGATTTTAAAAAGTTATCAAGACCGCTCTGCTAGTATGAGAGCGATACGATTGGTTCATGTCGCCACATGGGTTGTAGTCATGTGCATTTAGGACACTCATCCTTCTTCCCCAAGCTCATCCTCCCTGTGGTACAAACATTCCTGCCAGTTTCAAAACCCCAACATGTATGTGCCTTACAGCAAGAGTTTCTAAACTGATCTTCAATCATTTTGTGGCGATATAAAACGCTAATGAATACTAAAGCATCTCCATCATTGTACAAAGGCCCAAACAAGATTAATTGGTAAGATTTACTAGGTTGACCATCCTGAGGCCTTTGTACACTGTGACGAATAAACTGCATGAAAATAGTTGCTTGTGGATATTTTGCATTAAAACCATCCATGTCAGCAACACTTTGTGGATATTTTGCATTTAAACCATCCATGTCAGCAACACTTTTTCAGTAAAGGTATTGAAAAGATTCTCGCAGGCAGAGGAGCAACTATCCTGCAACCCTATTGACCCAGATCAACGTATGCAGTCTGCCTGAGGTCAGTTATTGTGCAGCCTAAGCTACACACAGGTCTCTGACTGTGCTTGACATAGTTTTCAACAATTCTTCATTTAGACCAGGAATCAGGAATCAGGAAACATTTATTGCCAAAATATGTCAAACATACAAGGAATTTGTCTTGGCGGTTGGTGCGTGACAGTAGACAGTGTAACAATAGACAACAAGACAGCAGTGCACAAGTAATAAAATAAAATGAAACGCTAATGCAATGGGTTAAGGCTATGGGTTAGTATAAAATAAGAGAATAAAGTTAAAAATTAAAAATATTTAAAAAGTGCACTAGCGAACAAGTAACAAAGTGACGAGTGAAAAACGACAGTAAAGTGACGTGTGCAGTGTGAAAGAAAGTGACCGGTGGAGTGTCAGAGTCAGTCAGTGGGGGACCGGGCTCTAACTTCTCAACCTGCCGGCTGTAACGCCGTCCACGTTTATCAGCACTTCATTTCAGGCGAAGTCAATCCATTCACGTATTTGATTGATTTTGATATTTCCCCCCTGGCTGACACATCCTGACATCACGGTGGACGTTGCTACTCGTCTTGCGAGGCGTAAAATCAAGCGGAGCACAGACCTGAGTGCAGTGTGAATGTTTGTCTCTGAGTCTTGAAGCGGGTTGAATTGAAAGTGTGAGAGTGCAGCTGCGGTGAAATCTTGCCGTTCAATAGGAGCGTGGGTTTGTCTGCAGCTGCACAGAGCGAGGGAGTGCTGGCTGGTAAAGCTGTGGGATCTATTGTTTTTGTTAACAAGGAGGAACGATGGATCGATCACTGATGTTAGAAACCACAAACCAAGCCAGAAATCTAGGTGTTATTATGGATTCGGACCTCAACCTGAACAGCCATATCAAGACAGTTACCAAATCAGCCTATATATACTGTATATATCCCATTATATCAAGGATCAGAGGATGTATGTCGTATGACTTGGAAAAACGATGTGTTTACATGTCTGTGTAAAACAAGGAAGCTGGTGCAGAACGCTGCAGCTCGAGTCCTCACCAGGACCAGGAAGGTGGATCACTCCGGTTCTCAGGCCTCAGGTTTAAACAGGCTTCCCGTCAAACAAAGAATGGACTTCAAAATCCTGCTGGTTTATAAAGCTCTAAATGGTTTAGGGCCAAAGTACATTTCTAATCTGCTGATACCTTACGAACCTTTATTGACCATTCCTGCATTTCTGAATTCCTAAACTACACTACAAATGTTATTCTATTTTTTTAATGTCTTTCTAATGACTGTTTTACTTTTATGTTTCAAACCAATGTTCTTAACTGTTTGTAAATCTCCTTGCTTTTGTTGTTTAATGGTTCTACGTGAAGCACTTTGAATTGCCTATAAAAAAGAAAAATTGCCTTGCCAATACACGGGGGGAATGAGGTAGAAGTATCGGGTCTGCACCAGTAACTTGCACATCGAAGCCCCTCCTCTGAAACATTAATCATTCTGGCTCATAAATATCCACAGAGCATATTTTGGGGGGAGATAAGTCTGCAGAATAAAGGTAAATATGATTCAATATTTGATCTAAAATAGAATCAACTCAGGCTCAGTGAACAACTGATAAAAGAGGTCGATGGTTTGTTTGATTTGTTAGAAACAAGTGTGTAGAAGTGGCCTCTATAAGGACACATGTGAACAAATGCTTCTAGGGCCCTGCGGAGGTATTACCGAGGTTTAGTGTGGATCCTCAAGATCCTAAATATTAGAAGGTTATGAGGTCCGATAATTTAACGGCATTAAATCCTCATTAGCCGTCTTTCTCCAAACCCCCACGACTGGAGCAGATTTAATGATACTGACTTAATAAGTAGGGATCACAGCTTTATTATCCCCCGAGTCTAATTTCACGGTTCCTCTCTCCAGCTGACACACAGACGTCCTCTCAGCAACAGAGTGGCCCCCACAGGAGGGACACGCGGAGCCGTTGACGGACACAACGTGAAATGTTTTCGAAAAGCAGAAGTAGCAGCATATGTACTGACTTCCACATCAGAGGAGGAACACTGATTGCACACTGTGTGGGAAGGACAAGCTGCTACGTGACACGTTTCATATCCTGTAAACCCTCCTGTTTATCAACTTTGGACATTCGCAGCGCTGTCAGCACACTCCTGCAACAACGAGTGACCTATATTTGGCTTTGTGAGACTCTTTTCCAAGTTCCTTTTTTTTTTAGCAAACAAGCTAGCGGGAAATATAATAGTTCCGCTGTTGTTAATCTTGTTATAATAATTTCTCAGGAGGATTTGTTCATTTCGACGTAATTAGAGAAGCAAACGGAACACAAGCACAACGCTGATATGATCAAGAGCAGATGAGTAGATTATGAAACTGCACTCGCACAGCGGGAGAGTTCAGAGGGAAGAAGTGAGAAGTCAGGCATCTACTAACCAGGAGTCTTTGTCCATTCATCTTCAGTTTGTTCACAGTGGCAGCCCCGTCCTGCATTTTGTTCTGAGGGGAATAAAAACGAAATTAGTTTACACATGTAAGCTGTACACATCCCCCCCCCCGGACCTCAACAACTCAAACATGAGACTACAAACGAAACACCTCGACAGTATCTTGTCTGCTATTTTCCTCGTACTCACCGCGCTGAAGAAGAAGGCTACTTGCGTGTGGTCCCAGCCCTCAAACTCCTCTCTGGACGGCAGGTTCATGTTGCGTCTCAACGGGGGGAACCGGCCTGAGCAGTGAGAGTGCTTTTGAAAGTACAGCGGAGGACTGACCCGTCTCGCACCGTGAGTCAACAGGGAGAAGTACACACAAGGGGGGGGGAGGAGGTCACCAGCACGCACTCTCCGTCGGCCTCGCCTTCAACCAGAAGCAATGTGGCAATCCATTGTGTTTTCTAAACTCTGTCAGTAAAGGTTCGATTGCAGCATCCCAAAATGGAAAGCAGGGACTTCCTCAAAGCCATATATGAAAGACCAATAGACAAACCAGAGCGTCATCACAGGGTCCGCTGGCTTTCAGCTTCAGTCGAGCTGGAGGGAACAAATTGTACATTTACTTTGATTTACAAGGTGTAATCTTATTTGAGGCGCGAGACTATTCTGACTCGTGAGCGAGGAAAGATTGCTGAACTGTCTTTAATTAGCTGTGTGGAGAGAGTGAGTTTAATCGACTTTTGGAAGTTCTTATGAAGCAGCGAAATGGGTTGTTTTTGTAGTATCTCTCTCACTAGAAATGTAACTGAGGTCAGGCATGTCAGACGAAATCATATAAATAAATATGATAAAAGAGACTGAGGATGAAAGCAAACTTTGGTGGGTTTTATCACACGTGTGATTGGTGACCTTTATTATTATTTTTGGGTGCAGCTATCGGCACCAGTCGTCTTGACAAAGAAGAACTTTCTCTGACCTGTAATTGAAATCTACAAGATTGGGATGCGCTAGCGGGAACTAACAGCACTAAAGGCCAAAGTGCTGGCAGAGCGGACAGTGTCTACCAGCGGGGGGCCGGGGGGCCGGGGGGCCGGGGGGCCGGGGGGCCGGCCTCTGAACCGTCTGAAATATGTGTT